CTTGTGCACCATCACGACTACTGCATAAGTCAGCGCGGATCTCAGCATTCAAAGGACAATGGACACCAGTCATTTGCTGAAGTCCCCTGAAACACAATCCACTGCTGGATTCCCTTCAAAACCAACCCAAAATAGAAGGCATTGTTGCGCTAGTGCGAGGGGGATCCATTTCGACCCCAGCCCAGGATCAGGGTTTCATTGTATGTTTGGCCCAAGGTAGACTTGAACCCAGGGGGTGGCTCATTTCAGCGAAAGGATAATCCCTGGATTCAAGTCCAGCTTCTTGGTGGCTATTGCTTTGGAAAAAAAAAAACCTAAAAACATCTAAAAACCAAACTGTTTACTGATGTGTGGGGAAAAAACACACACGTTTTATCAACATGTGACACGTTTCAACATCCAAAGAGCAGCCAAGGCTTGGGGTAACCTTGGCTTCGTCTCTTCAGCGCGCTCGCGGCTCGCTCGCGCCTTGGCGGGGCCCTGCAAGCGGATCCAACCTCGCATCAGCCTGCGGGCGGGTCTGGGCCATGAAATCGGTGCGGACGCGGGAGTGACATGATGCGGGGTCCAGTTTTGAGGGCATCCATAGGGTTGGACGAAAGGAAAATCAAGGTAAACCAGCGACTTTGGCAATTTATGAGTAGAAGATAGCAGAAGACAAAACCATATTGGTATATATTCAATGCCTACCTTGGGCTCGCCACGACACCTGAGTCCCGAACGGTCAACGCAAACTTCGGATCCACCCTTCACTAACTCTGAACTGGGCACCCTGCCCTCATCAAAGTAAATGAAGAAGGAATTTCTGTGGTACGGACACTAAGTCAAAGTTGGCTCTTGGCTGAAGACAAGAGACGAATAAGCACATGCGCGAGAAAACACGTGTGTGCACGTGTGGCAGGGTTGTCTCGTGCAAGTGTGCTCATGCGAGTTCGCCAGCGAGGTTTCCGGAAGACCCTTCGCAACGCTTCCGGGCAAAGGCAACAACTGGTTTTGCTGCCGACCCTACGATTGGATTGACTCCTTCGAACCATCTGGGTGTGGATGAAAGTTGGTATCCAAAACGGAGCTCTGATAAATGGAGGCAAGGCCTAAAACCTGCGGTCCCCTGGTGACTTAATGTTGACCCATACCCATCTGAGCTGAGGCCCCGGCTCATCTGGAGTGACGCTGCCGCTGTTGTCGGTGTCGATAAGCCTCGAGCGTGAGGCACAAATAATATGGGTAGCCGACCATTGTTCGCCAACCTTGACCAGCCTTGTCAACCCCCCTTGCAAAGAGCTATTAGTTTGCGGGTTACCCCAAAATTTGCAACAAGTTGAAAAGGCAGGCCTTTGGTTGGCCAGTGCAACCTAAAATACAGGTTCTCTACACAGCAACATTCAGGTTACGTTGCTGTTCTGGGCTGATATGTACCAGCTGAATGGAAACAGGGTCAACACTCGTTAGGTGGGATAGGAACCTGTGTATCAAAGGGCTGATGACCATCCCCCACCAAGCCGCAAAAGCGCTCGTTCCTTTCAAGAGCCAAGCCCCGGGCTGAAGCGCACGCGCTTCAGCGGACATTGTGCCCAGTTGGGGGTGTATAAAGGAGTTAAAAGGGGGGCATGAGCTGCGTATCGTTTTTTGTCCACTCTGTCCGGATGCGCTTTAATCGCAAGAGGCTCAGGCCCAAAACTATACCCAAGTCAACGGAGGCACAACTAGTGGCAGCAACTATGTCTACTCCATAGGCGTTGGGAGGAAGCGCGAGAAGAGCTGCGGTTCTTCAAGCAGCCGTTTGCCTCAGACATGTATCATCGTTTGCTGTCGTTCTCTTAATCCGACCCCTTGCAGAGTCCTCGGAAAAGCCACAAAGAAAACACAGCCAACCTGCAAATGTTCCCAACGCATGGTGGTTGGCTTTGCTTTTGTGAGCCATTCGGTGGATTCCTCGGACCGTTCCACGGAACAAGGAAACTCATGCGTTACTATGCATGGCTTGCCTCGTGGTGCTTGGGTCCAGCATCCTACGGCCAAACTGCACCACTTTCAAGTGGCAAGTGCTCATGTCGTGTCTGTTTACTTCTTCGCGATTTGCAGGGGATAGTGCGCTTCCATGCAACACCATCTCTCAGTTTCACTCACCAGCCCAGAGTCTGGATTCCCAAAGGAAGCAACTTGACACAAATCAAACCCTTCCACCCGTAGCGCCGTCTTTGTGTTCAAATGGTCGAAAACTTGTTCGTGTTCCATGCTAAGTCAGGGTTGTGGGAATTGCCTCGCCATCTGTGATACCACTGGAAGGCCTTCCAAATGACTAATTCTCCATCTAATGGGGCGGTTCCGACACAAGCGGGAACCAACCCCTCGTTCCCGCCGTGTCAAAGCGGAGGCCACCAGAACACGCTGCAACCCTCTGGCACCCAGAAAAGCTGCTGCGAACCGGGGCAGAGACCCCATAGCTTTCAGCTGGGGAAACGCCCCCAATTGAAACAAGTCCTCCTTGACTCTCTAAAAATCATCGCGAGCGCCTTCCGAAGCCGGGCGCCCGCGCTTGAAGAGGCTCCTTGCATCCGCCCTTGGCTCTCGGCAAATTTCGAGCGCCCCTTGCTCTTCAGTCCTTTGTCCAATCCTTGCTTTTAGCTTGTTGTCCAATCCCAGGGAATATTGGTCAGACCAGGAGAAAAGAGTGGAGGATCAACCTCTGAAACCTGAGTTAGACTTCAAGAAAAATGCGTTCCTGATTTGGAACCCAGTTCAACGGCTTGCCGCATTCATCATGGATTCACCCGCCAAGAGTGAAAACGCCTGTCGCAAAGGCTGTGGGTTTGCCCAGAATGATCATTTCTAAGACATGGTCGCTAGGGTTTTACAATTACAACCAGCACTGTAGGCAATGCCAACTTTGGGCGTTTCCTCCCCCTCACACAAAAAAATAGTAATGTTTGGGGGGATTCATCTCATTCATGCATCCGTTTGCTTATATAAATCCCCTGAAAGAAACATGAAGCAGTAATAGATTCCTTTTAAAAACAATCAGGGGAAATAAATCATGCTCTTCAGCAAATATAATGATTCAGAGAGGGGAGCTTTTTGGAGGTTGACCGTTCGCGGGGAAGTCACGGGAAAAAAACAACAAACAAAGTAGTTAGAGCGTGGGAACCCACTAAACAAACCGGGGTGTGACCGATTGAGAAAATTAGGCCACCACCCCAACCAGCCCCCCCCCAACCAAACCCCCCAGCCTTCACAACATTCTCAAGAACACTATATACAGTTCAACATATGTTTACAAACATTTGTCTTCACTACCAAGCCCCCCCCCGAAACCCCCCAAAACCCCCCCAACTCTCCTCCCCAACCCCTCCGAAGCGGGGCCCCAAACACATCCACCTCCACCGCGGCAAAGAGCTCCTGGAGCTCCTGCGTGTTCAGCTTGGCCTGGAAGACCTCGCCCAGCGAGCGAGCGGCCTCCCCCCCCGCGTGGGGGGGGGGGGGGGGCCTTCGGGCGTGGAACATCGGGAGCCTTTTCGGGGGGCGGAAAAACCACAGGAGTGACTCAGAAACAGCCCGTTTAAGGGATGCGTAAGCAATGGAAAAGTCGCCCCATCATCAAAAATAAATAAATAACCAAAATACACCAGCATAGACCCTCTTTACTAGAAGTTAGAACCCCTATAACTTTCAGCTATCTGGGGGGAGGAAAAAAAAACAGGATGCCTTCGGGGCATGAGCGAGCTACTAACAAGAGAAGCACTTCTGCTGAGAACCAGTGGACCTCGGGCGAGGCAGCTACGGGAGAAAAAAAAAATCCTTGGACCGATGAAAACAAACACAAACATGGTTGTTCTTTCAGTTGGGGCGATCCTTTGTTTAACCCACTATGAGAAGCAAAGTTATTGTCGGTGTCCCATTCGAATTGAATCAGCCTTTTTAAGCCACTACGGCTGTAACAACCTCCCCTTCTTCTTTCAAGCGGTGATTGTTGAGCAAAACTTGCCAGCCTGCTGCGGTCTCCTTTTGACCAATAAGCTTGGCAGCCAAACGGTGTACCTGGAGTTCCCATTGCCCTTTACACATGGGGGGACATTACCCCCGGAAATGATGGGTATCTGACCTCTTGCAGGGACTAGGCTGCAAACCACAAAACGCGCGCGCAGCAAGGGCGGGAAACACAGAACTCGCCCTACGGAACCGATGTCGGCCGTAGCCAAGGTGACCGTGGGGAAAACGTTTTGCACGCCAGCGGTGCCGGTCCACTAAGATCCGAATAACAATGGAGTTGCCCTATCTATCCTAGGTCTTCCAGTAGAGAGGTTGGAAGAAGGGTACCCTTTTTTCTGTAGTCTACTTCAGCAGGGGAACCCTCCCCCAAAACAGGGTAAAAGGGCACTACTGGGGGACCTGGTATCTTTGGCCATGAGTGCCGAAAGTTTGCAGCTGCCTTACCTTCCAACACCACATCACAATTCCCCCGTTTTGGGCTCCTTTTGGGGAAGTCACCGGCCCCCGCTGTTTGAGTGCTCCGGCCCCTGCAGTTTGAGCGCTCCCATATCACGGACATGAGGGTGATTCAATGATGAGTGAGAAACAAAGACAGCAGCCAAAGGGGCAGCATCGGGACGACCAAATGATCCTCATGAGTGACAGGCTTGAGCAAAGGACGTGAAGACTTATTCTACAAGCAGCTAAGCGAGTGTGCAGCTCGAGCCAGTGGATGACAGCACATATTTGTACTTCAACAAAACTGACAGTTTCCAGAGCTCGAGCCAGTGGATGCACATATTTGTACTTCAACAAAACTCACAGTGATTGCTAACATGTTCCCTGACTTTGTTTCGATGTCAGGATACTCCGTATCCTCACCTGAACATGGACGTGACTCCATAGGTTGGCCCGGGGCTTCCCGGCTCGTGACTAACATTTTGCCCAGTGGGATTCCTTATTTCCAGTTCGGGAGCAAATTATGGCAGTTTGCCCAGAATCCCCCGCGCATTTGGGGCATGGACCCTGTTCAGGACCTATCCGGATACTTCCCGGACCCCCAAGCCATAATTTTTGGTTGATGGGTTTGGCTGCTGCCGACAATTGAGGGGATGGATCATGTTGTGATTTTCCAGACCCCCCTTTTAGCATGCAGATTTAAAAGCAGGGTAATAGTTATACTTGAGACAACTGAGATTGTTTGCTTGCCCGCTAAGCATGTCCTGTTGTAAGACTCGGGGGAGTTTCCCTGCTCACTGATTACGAGATGGATTTCAGCCAATAATCACGTCTAAGGGACATCCTAGGCAGGCTGTCTCAGTAGCAATTGAAACAAATGGTTGCCCAACCCACAGTTGGCGTTTGGCGTCCTTTCGCTTCCTCAACAACTACCCTTTCAAGGCGATTCCATGGAATCCACTGGGAAGACGAAATTCATCTCCGCTACCAGAGCTTCCATGGAATCCCCGGTAGGGAATCTAAACACAGCACGCCATTAGCTCGAAATAATCAGGATCAAAGCACCGTCCAATCAATGGCATTCTCCGCGTTCAGGTCCGACTTCTTGAACAGGTTCAAGACATGTCGCACCACGTAGGTGTCCTGCTCAAACCAAACAACATGCCCCTCGAGTTTGCTCTAGCGTTGCGTGCTCAGTCGCGTCAAGAATACAGAAAACTCTTTTTGTTCAGCGCACCCTCCTCTCCATTTGTTTGGGCCCAGGTTTCCCTTTGCCACATTCTTGCCGATCACCCCTTACCCGGCACGTTCCAATACGTCCCGGCTCCCTTAGCCCAGAACCAGACCGGATCGGTCCTTATCCTGCTGTGCGTAGGTCTTGGCATTATCCACAAAAATGCCTGAAGCAACACAAGCTGGGGTCGGCAAAGTCAAGCCGAACCTGAAATTTGTCAATGCCATGTGCGGGGCATGCTTAAGACAGTTATGAGCTCTTTCAAACAAAAAATAAAACAAGGAGCAGCTCAAACAACAATCAGAGTCTGTTTCTAGTTTGTGGGATGGCCTCCTTGGTGTTCAACGTCCAGGCCCACCCACGCCTGTAATGACATTCATCATCGCCAACATGGAGAACGCAACCTTTGCCGCGAGCGCGCTCTCCCTCTCTCTCTCTCTCACACACACAGTCACACGCAGTCGCACGCAGTCACATGCTCAAACTCACTCTCAAACGTGCACACTCCAAGTCTGCAAAGCATGGACAACCGTACACCACCTCTGCCTCAATCCATGAAGCTTTACTGCTTGCTACAGCCTACGAGTCTGAAATTCTCTCTTTTGATAATCTCAGGAGGAAAACGGGTCGATTCCCTTTGCAAAAAGATAATTAGGGGATCCGAAGTCTTCTTCTGCAATCCATGGTGGGACACCACAAGGAAAACCAAAGACCACCTGAGGATCTTCTGGATTTTTGCACCCAGTCTTGGCTTGCCGGGCATAAGCCGAAAAGACCAAGGCCATCATGGGCGACACGTCCTCGATGAGGGGCTGGGCCATGTCCTGAAAGGTGGGTGAGAAGCTGCTGGGATGCATGTCCCCCCCCCGCCCAAAACAAAGCTCAGGTGATATCCCCAACAGCATGCGGTGCTCTTTTTAGTGCTCGCACCACCCAGCAGCCCTCGCAGAGCCTCGTGAAACCCTGGTGGAACCCTCGTGGAACCCTCGTGGAACCTTGCCGGGAAAAAGCTAAACAAACAAGACAAAAATGGTTTGTTTCCTTTTGGTTGTCGAAACCCAATGCAGTTGGAGACTTTACAGCTTGGCGTTGGTACCCTTAGAATACCAATAAACAAGCCAAAGGCACCATTTAAAGAAGCTCCCTTCTGTGCTGCGTCCAACCTGCAAAAAGGGCTTCACATCTAGGCCACGGCCATGGTGGTTTCTCTACCCTAGACATGGCCTGAGATGCCCTGATCAAGAAGGGCATCATTGCACTTAGCATCATTGCACTTATGTCGCTCCTGACAAGAATTGATCGAGATGAATCCCCTCCAAAACCAAAGGATGTCTCGCCTGAACCGATGCGAATCTCACTTGACCTCGGACGCGCTTTGGATTGCGGGCAAAGATGGTAAAAGCTACAGGGCATCTGAATAAACACTCTCCTGCTGTTAAACACCAGTCGCTCCGCAAATGAAACCGTAGCATTATGTAGCATTTGCTGTTTCTCCGAGCTTTCAGGCTCACGCAGTTGGCCGGCCACCAACGCACATATCTGCCATAAAGAAGAAGTAGCAACGTACAGGCCGTCGACTGCCAAGATTTATCGCATGAGGGCAGGGGAACGCTATGAGTGTGGCCTCCAGCTTCTCACAGTTCATTGCGATCAACATCCGACCCGGCCACATCTGCGAATACGCCTTTTCAGGTTCATTTGTGAGGAAGCCTGCGAACCATGCCCATGGTTCTTGGAGGCATGGCTCCCTGCCTCCATCCCCATCCCCCGCACCCGCACATCCCGAAAATAGTTTGCTACTGAGTCAATTGGCTAAAACAAGTCTAAGCTGCTTGTTTACCAAGAAGTAAGAACGAGGAAATGGGGAAGTCTTTTTCCGGCAAGGGCTACGGGCAATGATTTGAGAGTTTCTACTATTCACCTAAGATCGCCCTGAAAGGAACCAACCACCTTTGGATTGGCAACCAAACGGTGATGTGTAAAGCTACCCTTTCAGGAGACATATAGTCGGAACCCTGTGATACAGCAACCACGACCTTTCTCTTGTCACACCTCATGCGCCAAGTCCCTCCGCTCACACGATCCGAAGCGGAACGTGGATCAAATCGGATCCAACGCAACGGAGCGCTGCAAAAACATGAATCATAAGAAACAACTAGATTGCAATTCTAATCCAAAAGCGCTCAAACGAGGACAAAATCATCCTCTAGTTTTACTGCGAACAACACCTTTACCGCCGGTCACCAAATGCCAAGATCGCTTGCGACGTAGTTTGATTTGCCCATGAGGTCCTGCCAGTCCATGCCCCCAGAGATGCACTCCCAAAGCGCCAAGACCGCCGTGCCCAGGTTGGAAAAGTACCTCCGTCCGACGGCTTGTCGTGGGATTTTATCCATCCGTCCGGCGGAGTCCCCATGGGAATGTTCATCCATCCATGTCGTCCATAGGTAAAACTGAGGCTTTCTCAAAGTGGTGGACACCCATTTGCTTGGTATTCAGAGGGAAACCAAAGGGGAACCAACAACTTGGAGTGACCGGAGATACTCACAAGCTTTCGTCTGGTGACATGCTCGTTGAGGTTGACCCTTTAGCGTTCAAATGTGGCTGGACAAATCCTGCACCAGTTCGAAGCTGGTCTATTCCCTTCCGTGCTTCATGCATCGCATTCGGTCCATCGACTGGTATAAAAACTGTTTAGAAGCTGTTGTCTTGCAAAGCAGCAACAGGAAACAGGGTTTGCGTTTTGAGCCCAAATGGTCTAAACTTCCAGGGCGCTCTTGATGATTTGATGTGGCATGTGTTGTTGTTGAAGAAAGGGACCCCCCGCTTTTGCAACCGCTTTTCCAAACCCCAACATCACCCTTTCAAAAGGAAGCTCACTTTAAATTGGCAACCGCCAAAAAATGATGTTTTAGAACCGCACCCGCTACATGGCGGTTTCAAGGGAAACCACACCCACTTCTATGGTGCTTTCCACTTGAGGTGAAACATGGGGACCCCTGCTGGAACTAGGAAACCCATACACCTTTCAACAGAAACAGCTCCATAACCGGTACTCCCTCTCCGGTCCGCGCCTCTCCAGCTTGGGATCGCTGGCACTGGCGCGGAATTCGTTCGCCTGCATTTGGAGGGTACTTTTGAGTTGGTACCCTTGGTCAACGTTCAACCCCCAGCCTGCCTGCTTTTGCTTTCCTCATTTTTTAGGCCCCACATTTTTGCCACCGCTGCCCCCCCTCCCAACCAAACAAAACAAACAAAGAAGAAAGGCCCTTCAAGAGGAGCATTGTCCACTGCCCTACCTTTTACGTTTCCTATCAGACGGCACCCACGGGCAACAAAGGCACCCACGACATATAAAGCCCTCAAGCCCTCGATGCGTTTGGACACTTTGCGAGCATGATATTTCTTCAGGAACAAAACAGGTTTGTCCAACGCAGATGACGTTGCCTTTTGTTCAGCTTTGGGGCCCCCCTCCAAACCTCCTCGAAACTGGGCATGGGTTTTTCTCCGTAGACCAAATTCCACAGAAATATTGCACTTCAGTCTGAGTAGGCGCTTAGACCCTTCATATTGGGTTGAATGAGGTGTTCAAGGAGGGGCCGAATAATTCCCATGTCATTCTAACTGCTTAGAAGCATGTCCAGATGGGTGTTTTCCATTCCGCAACTGGGTGTTTTGCTAGCTGGTGCTTCTGTACTGGTTTTGTGTCTTGCTGCCGTGCACCACTTGACGCAATAGTAGTTGTAGCGTAACGCGTGCCTTCCTATTGTCACTAGTAGCTCTTGGTAAACAATACCCCTTATCCACCGCAAGCAGCACTTCCTGCTCTGAGAGTGCCGCAGCGTGACAAGAGGAACCGCGACTCACGCAGAAACAAGCAATCGCTCGAGCAAAGCAAGGGCCTACCATACACTGGAAATGTCCTACAGTAAGCTTGGTTGTCATTAGCATCGTGGTTTTGCTCACAAGATTCCACCAGCGCCCAAGTCTAACAAACGTCACCACAAAATAAAGCATGCCTCCCTCAAGCCCAAAGTCCCCAAATAATGATCTACCAACCAGGCCCTTACCCCTCTCCAACTATGACAGAAGCAGCAACCTTCCCATACATTCCCTGGACCCCAAGTGTGTTTGGAGTCAATCGCTTTGAAGCTAGATAGTGGTATTAAACACCACTCAGACAAGTAGAGACAATTGCTGCACGGCAGCGGAAAGGTCGGAGCAGTGCCATGCAGCAAAAATGGCACTCAGAGCCGGGCAGAAAAACGGTCCAAAGAGGGCGCGTAAAATGCATCCTGCACATACAGCTGAGCCGTGGAAGCCGTCTCGAAAGGCATTGTCTGAAACGCGGGGGAAGGCCGGCATGAGTCACAAAAACTATTCTGCTCTTCTTTCTTGCATGCTCCACTGTTTCCGGCTGCAACGCAGCCTTGTCAGCCTCGATTTTGGGTTGCTCTGCTTTCTCCTAGATGATGATGTGAACAATTTCAGACTACAAATCATTGATCTCCAAAATCAGATGTTTCCGAATCAGGAGTAGGTTACTGATTTCGCCTGTTTTCGCATCATATGCAAACAATTTCAAAGGCTCCAAATCATTGGTCTCCATAAGCAGAGTTTTCCACCTCGTTAGTCCCCATAACTTGTGGGCCCGCTCTCTCAAGGCCTTTGGCCCGGTCAAACACAAGGCCTTTGGTCCGAGGTGCATGGCAAAGCGAGTTTTTTCCACCAAGAATTCACAGCTTGCAAGCGCGATGCTCCTGCTTATAGTGTGCCAGGCTTGTCTTATTATAATTATTACAGCAGCACTGCTTATCGGCAAAATCAAATATTGAGGATGCGAAAAATCATGATCTGTAAATGCAAAGATTTGCATATTGGAACATCACAGCAAACAATCAAAATCTACACATCCTCCAGCATGGTCAGCAAGCGGCGAATCGCCTTGAAAATGTTACTCTTGCGCCGCGCTCGCGTCGAATCCGACACGGTCTGATCAGACCCTGCCGACGGATCTCGACGGCGCCTACGCGTACGGGAACGGCTTAAGTGCGATGCGAGCCCTCGGGCTCATGCGACACCTCTCCGGCGTCGGCGTCGGCACCAGGAGCATCTGCAGGTGGAGGCAAGGCGGCTCATATGCGGGAGCAACGGGCGCAGCAGCAGGCGACGCCTTCGGCAAAGCGGTCTCGCTCGCGCGCTTATCCTCAGCAGATTTCAGAGCCAAAGAAAATAAGAATACTAGGACGTGTTGTCTTTTAATATATTCTATATCTTTTGGTAGTAGATCTGTGCAAGATACAAACACTTATTATCTTTTACTTTCCTGAGTAGCTACTCCCAAGTCTACTATATCTCCGGCGGACCATAACCAAACCAATCTGAGATGTACATAAGTTAACCACCTGAGAAACAGACTTATACCTAACATACTATCTTCTATTTCCAAGCTATCTGACTGCGAGCCTTCTTAGTAGGGTCCTTCTCCAACCAAGCAACCAGAGCCGCTTTCAGCCAGGTCAACTTGCCCCCTTCTTTTGTGTGCGCTGCCCCCCCACGCTTTCCACACCTTCTGCCTTTTCAGGATGAGCTCGGCCAAAGGCTTGCGAACCACCAGGGCAGAAGCGGGCATGCTTGCGACGCAGCTGTGTTTCCCTGCGCGATGTGTGCTTGCTGGCTGCGCTGCTTCCGTGACAAAGCTCAAACTCCCAAATGGCTGGTCTGGGGCTTCCTTGGCCACATTCCTGCGACATGGTGGTGTACGAGTGCGCCTGCAATGCCCTTTGCGGACGGGTCCTAACACACGTGCTTGGATCGGAACTGTTCCTCAGGCAAACCAGAGCAGCGGTCCCGTCGGTTTGCCTTGCTGCCGCGTGAGGCTGTTGCCTGTCGTTGAGCACTGGCCGGGGCACGTTTGCTGGAAAGGTCACAGCGTGGGAAGGTTACTGCTTTCTTCATAGTTGGGGAGGGGTAAGGGCCTGGTTGGTAGATATTTGGGGACTTTGGGCATGCTTTATTTTCTGGTGACGTTTGCTTTTACTATGTGACTTGGGCGTTGGTGGAATCCTGTGAGCTAAAGGCCTGCCCACCGCAAGCAGCACTTCCTGCTCCGAAAGTGCTGCAGCGTGACAAGAGGAACCGCGACTCACGCAGAAACAAGCAAACATTCGAGCAAAGCACGGGCCTACCATACTGTCTGGACATGTGTCCTACCGCAAGAGTGTCCTTCAAGGCGCCCTTTCCCCTGCAGGTCAGCACGGCGCCAAACACAATTTCTGTTTGTTTGTTGTTTCCCCTCCGTTAGCGGAACTGAGGCCTGTCAAGCAGCTACTAGTGACAATGGGAAGGCACATGTTATGCTACACTATTGCGTCAAGGAGTGCGCGGCGGCAAAGCACAAAACCAGTACAGAAGCCAAAGCACCCAGTTGCGAAATGGAAAACACCCAGTCCACTCTGGACACGCTTTTAGCGAGTTTGAGCGGTATGCTCCAGGGGTCTGACGCAACCTTAAACCCTACCCGCCAAATTTACGCTCATGGTGGCTTAGAGGCAAGACATTGAGAAAGTAAGGGAAAGGCATTTGACCCTTCTTCGACTCGTGGGAGCTGAAAAGGTCATCCGAAAACGAACTTGTAAAGAATCAACTGGCACTTTGAAGGGGACCTGAAAGGGGTGGTTTGTCCTTTACAGTAGCTGGGCGACCACCCCCCCCAAAGCAAACCCCGTCCGGGGGTATGAACTTTCTGCCCTTTGATTCGTTGGGATACACCCCCCAGTCGATTTGATCCCAACCGTCCAAAAATTCCAGGAAAATCAGGATGAAAGTAGATGGCACAATTCCCAGTGGAGGGGGGATATAGTTGAATTGCGCCACCTCTTACCTGGTCAAACCAATCCCCCCAACCAAAAAAACAACACCACACAAAACCACGGAACCACTCGCCACCAAACCCACCAAACCCACCAGACCCGCGCCATCTGGGTCATGGCCACCGCCACCGCGTAGATGAGCATCGAGAACAAGATGGCAGCCCAGAAGAGCGGCTTCAGCGAGGCCACAATGGAGGACACCATGGTGCCTGGCAGCTCAGCCGAGAAAGGGGGGGGAGGGAATGGGGGGAAGGGGGGAAGTGCCAAATGTGGAGGGAATGGGGGGAAGGGGGGAAGTGCCAAATGTGGATGACGGAAAGCGCTTCTTGAAGCGCTGGGAGTTAGTGTACGAAGTTGTGGGGGGGGGGGGGTGTGGGGGGGGGGTGGTAACCTCGTTCCGGGGGATTTGCAGGTCTGGTCAGCCGAAAAATACTCCCAAAAAATTGGAGTATTTTTTGGAGCACTTTCTGCCACCGCAAGGCTGGTTTTTGGTGTTTGTCCCTGTGTTTTTCGCGCTTTTTCGTCGACGCTGCCTATCATGTCTGACCTTTTCGTCTGTGGCTCTCGCGGGCCAAAAAGCGTGCCAGTTTTACATCATTTTACTTTGCTTCCGGCCTCGCCGGACTTGGGCGCACAAGGGGTGCCGGGGATGCAGGGGATGCCGGGGATGCAGGGATGTTGCTTGTTTTGGAAGTTTTTGTGGTGGTCGGCGATGCTGGGGATGTCGCAGGAAACATACTCCCATTTTTTGGGAGTATTTTTTGGAGCACTTTCTGCCACCGCAAGGCTGGTTTGCAGGTCCCAGGGAGACGACACGGGGTGTGTAAGTACGGGCGCTGGTTTAGGTTGTTGCTTGTATGTGATTCAGTGCAGGAGGGTTGTGCAGTTGTTGGTTTGCTCTGACTTGGGTCAAGCTGGCAAGGGACAGCAAGGGACAGCAAGGCAAAGCAAGGCAAACCAAGGGCAAAGGAAGCGAAAGTAGGGGAAAGCAAGCCAGGCAAGGGAAAGCAAGGCAAAGCAAGGGACAGCAATGGACAGCAAGGGAAAGCAAGCAACAGCACGGGCAAAACAAGTCAAAGCAAAGGAAAGCAAGGGACAGCAAGGGACAGCAACAAAAAAGCAAGGGAAAGCAAGGGAAACACAAGGGAAAGCAAGGGACAGCAAGGCAAAGCAAGCGAAAGCACGGGCAAAGCAAGGGAAAGAAAGGGAAAGGGAAAGCAGGGACAAGCAAACGAAAGCAAGGGACAGCCAGGGAAGGCAAGGGAAAGCAAGGGAAAACAAGGGAGAGCAAGGCAAAGCAAGCAAAAGCACGGGCAAAGCAAAGGAAGGCAAGGGAAAGCAAGGGAAAGGGAAAACAAGGGAAAGGGAAAACAAGGGAAAGGGAAAACAAGGGAAAGGGAAAACAAGGGAAAGGGAAAACAAGGGAAAGCAAAGACAAGCAAAGGAAAGCAAGGGTCGGCAAGGGAAAGCAAGGGAAAACAAGGGAGAGCAAGGCAAAGCAAGCAAAAGCACGGGCAAAGCAAGGGAAAGAAAGGGAAAGGGAAAGCAGGGACAAGCAAACGAAAGCAAGGGACAGCCAGGGAAGGCAAGGGAAAGCAAGGGAAAACAAGGGAGAGCAAGGCAAAGCAAGCAAAAGCACGGGCAAAGCAAGGCAAAGCAAAGGAAGGCAAGGGAAAGCAAGGGAAAGCAAGTGAAAAGGAAAACAAGTGAAAGCAAGGGATGGCAGGGCAAAGAAAGCAAAAGCATGGGCAAAGCAATGCAAAGCAAAGGAACACAAGGGAAAGGAAGGGACAGCAAGGCAAAGCAAGCAAAAGCACGGGCAAAGCAAGGCAAAGCAAGCAAAAGCACGGGCACAGAAAGGCAAAGCAAAGGAAAGCAAGGGACAGCAAGGGAACACAAGGGAAAACAAGGGAAAACAAGGGAAAGCAAGGGACAGCAAGGCAAGGGAAGCAAGGGAAAACAAGGTAAAGCAAGGGGCAGCAAGGCAAAGCAAGCAAAAGCACGGGCAAAGCAAGGGACAGCAAGGGAAAGCAAGCGAAAACAAGGGAAAGCAAGGGACAGCAAGGCAAAGCAAGCTAAAGCATGGGCAAGGCAAGGCAAAGCAAAGGAAAGCAAGGGACAGCAAGGGAAAGCAAGGAAATGGGAAAGCAACGGAAAGGGAAAGCAAGGGAAAGCAAGGCAACGCAAGGGAAAAAGCAAGGTCAAGCGAAGGAAGGCAAGGGAAAGCAAGGGAAAACAAGGGAAAGCCATCGCATGCCGTGGCAGGCGCTTTCCGTTGTTTGCCGGACTGGTTTGCAGGGGGGAAAAAGGGGGCGCCGCTGGGTTGGTGGAGTTTAAACCAAAAAAAAATCGAAAGAGAAAAGGGCGCCAGCCCCGAAAGCCCCACCTTCCCCACCTCCCCCCTCCCCGAAAAAAAGAGAAAGAGCTGGAAACTAAAAAGAGGGACACTGGGAACCAATTGAAACAGAAGAGGAAAAGCTTGCCAGTGAAAAGGAAGGACAATATGGGAGGGGTTGGGCGCTAAAGTCTATCCTAACAACCAGCCTTGTTTAGTGTCTTGCTTGTTCTCGTTGGAATGAGCCGAAGTCATGGAAACATCCAACTGTAGCTGCCTCATTCCCCACGGACCAGAAAGTTAGCAGGAACGTAAAGGGGTGCAACCACCCCTCTTGGCCCTTGCGGACTGGACAAATGCTGGAGCATGGTCTTGTCCTACCTAGTTATGTGCTCGGATGAATCGGAACCGGACGAAACAGGGTGGCTCCCCTTTTGAGAGGAATGTATCCTCTTTATGGTCGGCTGGTATGGTTCTTGGAATCAACCGAAGCTAGCATTATAGTCACGAGGGAAACCATGAAAGAACTTTCGATAGAGGAATGCCCCTGCTTACTTCAAAGTATGGAATCCCCTGCTAAGTTCTGTGTTGGGGGAACCTCTCCACACTCCCCACGAGAAGAACATGGAAAGTCAAACAAAAACTGATAACTGCAACCACCGTGGATCACCCCCAATTGAAAAGGATTCTCCTGTAACATGCTGAGGGCAAGAGGGGAAGTGCACCTGACCGACCTTTCAAAGAATGGTTAAGCCTGTTAAGCCTCCCTGTTACTGACACGCACAAACCTGTTCAATCCCCTGGCAACCAAGCGGGGGCATACCCTGGTCTGGTTTTGACTGGAAACACCTCCATGGTCAAATTGACATGTCCACCGACTTGTGCAGAGGTCAAAACAACAGCTACTACTCAGCCCACCATGAGCCAATCCTGTACAGTAGCACACAATTCTCAAAACCCACCACAAATTCGGCGAAGTGGGCTTCCTCTTTCATCTAATTGGTGACTTTGAAAGTTGCAAACTACTAGCACCAGCCTGGACCCATGGTTTGCAATTCCTCAAAATGCCCCCCCCCGTTTGAAGAAGCCCCAAAGAGAACATGATATTCCGTGTCCACATGGCCTTTTCAGGAAAGTCACACCAGAAAGCGCAACATGGCTATGCATTCTAGAGGGACCCCCGTGAACAATAATTGGACACAACTCCCCATCGACATGTTGCCCCCCCCCCCCCCGCCCCAGAAGTGGCCTCTGTTTTTCCCAGAACACCTCCGGCAGACCATTTATTTGGTCAGGCCCCGAAACTGGTCCGGGGGCGGGGGGGCTATTCTTTCTTGACACCCAACCTGTTTCTTGAGCCCACACAAAGTAACTCCACAAACCGGTCCAGAGCTTGCTTGCTGTTGACCCGCCTGTAAACAGTTTCACATGTTTCACTTTTTGGGGGTTTAGTGGAACACCTTGATTTCAACCCAAAAGCTAAAGCCTAAAGGTCCGTTGCCCAATCGCAGCCAAGACAGCTGGAGCACCCCGACTCTGCCGCCCCCGGGCCCCCCCCCTCCGACTCCGCCGAGGCGCGGAGCTCCACTACGAGGTGCAGCACCCGCGCCAGGCGCATGATCCGCACCACCCCTCGCAATTTGCACGTGGAGGCGCCAAACATGCCACGGCAAAAAGGCAACCCCTGGCCACCTTTGACTGGTACTTATGAATGGAGCTTTCTATTAGTGGCCCTTTATATATATATACATATATACGTACATATATATATATATGTATATACATACATACATTATGAAAGGAGCTTTCTATTCGCAATGATTTGGCCCTTTTACATGTATATGTTGTTTTGTCTTTTCCCCCTTTGGCCGGAATTGCCCGATTGGCTCAAAACAACAATTGGGTCGATCATCGTTCCTGAAACCGAGCTACAATCAGGTGTTGCGCGCGGCAAGCGCACAGGGCGTTGCCCAAACATGAGTTGCTTAAACAAGAGCCTGTGCCATGTGGGTATGTGTAAAAATAGGAGGACCCCCAAATGGTGGTTTTCCTTTTGCTCTCCCCCTCAACATAACACATACCCTTTCAACGAATCAAAGCGTAAATACCATGGTGAATGGACGATAATGGACGCATGTCAAGGATGGCTATCCCAAATCGGAGGATCGGTGACTGCACCCAATTGAAGCGGAAGAGCCGCAAGCGGACACCTGCTTGGAGCATCCCTGTTGCATCTGGGTGTGCTTCTGATTTTGCGTTATGAGCATTCAAATCCCCACTTGTGAGATATACCCCACTTGATGATTGAAATAATTTCAGTTTGTAGGTCAGTGAAGTCCATTACTTTCTAACCATCCTATCCTGTCTTGTACAGTACTGCTTTACATCGGTACCAGACAAACAGTGATGAGTGGCCTGGAGACGAGCCAACCAACAGCATGGGCCGAACACTTTGCAAACCCTAGTGTTGCACAAGAGGGCAATACCCGATATATATATATATATAACCTTCCCAATTCACCAGAGAGGAAACTGACAATCTGCAAACTTCTTGTTGGACTTCAGCTTGGATTATGTTTCATCCAGTCCACAAAAAACACCCGGGCTTTAAAACACCCTGAGAGCCAACGGACACGCCGATGTGCAGCCACCATCAGTTTCAAGGGCGCTGACCTCTTCCATGAACCAGCTGAGCCACCATCAAAACCCGATGCAGGTTAGCAAGGGATATGTCCAACCATAAATAGGTGCGGATATCAACCTTTTCTCCACTTCTGACATGGTTTTGGGTAGACCGGTTTCATACCAGGTTCTGACTATGACCCACCTCTTTTGGTCGATCCGGACCTGGGATCCCCGGCGCAAAGTGCGGAGGATGCGCAGGAACCCAAAGTTCATGACCTCGGGGAAAGCTCCGAATCCTTCGCGAGCAAAAGGATTGGCTTAAGCCCAGCTCGCACATGAGCCAGGGTCAAAATTAATTTTGTTTCCCTAACAAAACATGGGGACAGGTATGAGTCCCCTTAGAGAAATACCTGGGACATTTAGTGAGTTCCCCCATGTCTCTCCAATCGACCATAGAACTGCAGGTAGTTTTGACCCAACCTCGCATGGGTTGTGTCAAAATAGGGGGCCCCAGAAAAAGGTTGGTGCTCCTGTTGGTTTTCCTTTGCGATTCTCGACGTTTCTCGCGAGCGATAGGTTTAAAGAGGCATAACAGGTTTGCTTCAGTCAGGCAATGCGCTATCCGAAACAAAATGGCGCCGCAAGTTGCGCCGTTGTCAGAAAGACGCGGTTTGTCACTCAGAATGTTCGTGTATGGGAGTCAAAAAGGTATGATCAACATATTCATGTCACCTCTCAAGAGCCTTGATCCCTTCAGCGAGAACACATGTGTCACACCCCCAAAGTGGCCGACATGATTGAAAGAAACTATCAGGAATTCAGCCCAACATATTTTCGACTCTCACGCAACCGGCTCGTTTCTCAAAAAAACAAAAAGTAGAACAGCTCCGTCCGCTCTCTCAAGGGGCGAAGCAATACTCAAGTTTACCTCTAACATGACTAACATTTGCTTTGGAGTACCTGACACAGTTCCAATTCTCACTTTTTGAGGCGCACCATTCCAATGGAGGTGATCCATGATGCGGGTAATGATTCCGGCCCACTCACGCCGCGGATCCGCGAACGCTTGGGCAACGGCGTGTGAACCCGAGCCCTCAGTCACGATGTTCACGGCCTGCCAGTTGAATCCCCAAGTTGGATTCGGATTCGCCCTATGAAACTACAAAAACTACAACAAAAATAATACAAACTCTTTGATCTCCCAGCAAGAAGCCCAGAAAGAGTTTGCCTCCAACAAAGAGACATCCCCAACTGGATCTCTTTATAGCAGCGGGCCAGCAGCCGACGTGGATTTGGCCAATGTGGGGCTTTGTTTGTTTTTTCTGGGGGAATCTGGGCTCATGAATTTACCCTTGCCCAAGTCACCCCTCAAAAAAAAGGGGTACGGAATGTGTCAAAATAACAGGCCCAAAAAACGGATTTCCTTGGTGTCCCTTTAAAGCCACCCCCCAAAAGGGCACCCTGAAAAAACACGAAAGAGAAACAACCCCACTCTTCTGACTTTGACACCGCTGCCACGAAGCCCGACTGGAGGACTTGGAAGACAATCTGTCGGATGACCTGTCAGCTTCCATGTCCGTAGGGTCACCCCTGACAACCCGTCCTAACAGGATACCCCACAGGAGACTCCTCCTGCTTTTGGGGGGGGGGGAATTCCGAGCCCAGGCTACAAGGTGCCTGGCTCGGGCGCACTCCGTGTAACTTGGGTCCCACTTCTTGTACTCCCCCCCCCTCCCCAGAAAAACAAAAATAATCACAGGTGGTGTCCCCAACAGCCCCGGCCCCCCTGGAACCCTCCGGAACCCTCCCTGAAAGCTGGCCCAACCATCCAGAGCCTATCTGGGCAGAGACCCACAGCTTTCAGCTGTTGGGGAATCAAGAAAGGAAAACCGTATGCTTGGCCAAATCAACGCAGACCAAGCTGGAAAACCGTATCAACGACGAAATGAAATGCTCAAGAAGGATATGTTGCTCACGGTCCACTCCATACCAAGGACAGGTTCATCCAAATTGTGCTTGAAACGCCGACCAACTTAGGTCCATACAGGACCTCTTCACGGTCTGGTGTTGGCGTTTGGCACATGGCGATGTTGATTGGGGACCCTTTTAAGATATCATTTACAAAGGTAGTTCGGTCCACTAACTATTGTTGAGGCTGGTCCCCCGCAGCCCCTTTGAGATGCTCAGATGCACTACCCCCAAACCACTGCCCCAGACGGGAAAATTGAGGAGGGCAGGTACCCTTCATTTCGCGGCTATGTACTAGCTGTATGTCCCATTAAGCCAGGGTAGTGGTTTGGTGGTGGAAACCATCCCACTGTAAGGGCCTAAACAATTAGAATGAGGTTGGGCATGTTAAAACCCAATTTAGTGCTCATAAGATAATCAGGTATTCAGCCCTTATACTGTATTGGATAGATACATGGCCACAAGCAGTTTGACCTCTCGACGCCGATAAACATAGCTTTTGGGCGCTTCTGTTGACAGGGGAGCTCCTGCTCCTGTTAGGGCGACACCACGTAGTGGACTCGCCTGAATTTCACTTACAACTATGCGTGTTGCTTGAACGCACCCGCGGGGGGATGGGGGGGGGGGTTGTGAAGAGCATGATTCTTGGCACGGTTGGAGCCATGGTCAAGACTCCTCTGGGTCATGGGCCCAACCCCAGGGATCCAAAAACAGCTGCGTCATATGTCTGACCCCAGTCCCCAGTTTTGATCATTGAACCTTTGGAGACAATGGAAACGAAATGGAAAAGGTTGGAACACAACAATCGCGACTATCCATCACCTGTTGGGTTTAACCATGGAAAAGCTATTTCGCACCCAAACCCACGTAGGAATCCGTCTCGTGTCGTTGGCTTTGGTTTCCCTTCAAGTACCCACAAGGAGCCACCTCCGGAGAACCACCGCTTCTCAGCTTGGAGAGGAGCGCTTCCAGCCGCCAGCCTGCTCCACCCACTGCAGAGATACCACCAGAAAGTCGAAGATGTTCCACCTCGGGACACGAAATCCGAAACAACCACCTGGCGATTCTTGTATGGGTCCGAACCTGAATAGGGGATCCTTTGGTGGACATCATTTAGCTAGGGGTTCATGTCCACCAACTTCTTTGACGGGGTATTGCTTGTTAACTTATTAGTATGGCCACATGTCTTTTTCGCCATCTGCCTTTCTCCCCTGGGTTTGGTAGTGGAAACCCCAAGTAAGCCCCAGACCAGTTCCTATAATTCCCCCTTGGGCGGCTACAAGCGACAAGGGCTTCACCAAGAGCTGGGACAAACATGAGATGGGCGCTTTTAGGGCAACTTGTGTGGCCTTCCTTGAGTAGCACATGTCTTGGATGTGGCGATCTTAAGTCGAAACAGGTGTTGCTATGTGATGACCACATCAGCTAGCCCTCGACAGCAAATCGGATCTGCAGCCCTGCTTCTCAATGCTCACTTGCCAGACCTGGAGACTCGGCCAATCCAGTAAACGATGTCACCATGTTGTAAGTACAAGCAGGTACTCCCCATCAGCATACCCAGTCGACCCTCCAAAGGTGGTCTTCCTTTTGGCTTCCCTTCAAACAAACGAATCTAAACTTGAAATCGGCTTGCCCTAACCCCGTTCCGCCCACCTCCACTCTGTGCCGAGGAAGAAGTCTCCACAGCCAGCCACCGCCACCCTGGTCGCATGGTCTGTCATTTGAGCATCCCCTAGTTTGGGCTGGTACTTCTTTTCGGAATCCGAAAGGAAAAAAAAAAACCGTTTCTTTTTTGTGGGTCCCCCGATTTTGAGACGAAACCCATGTTTGTCGTCAGGATTCTTGTGCATCTTTCGAGTGACATGCCGCTCGGCTTCCCAAAGGCCTCACCAGCACCTCACAGGTGAAGATATAGCCTTGGCCATCGACACGTCGGGTCCCCCCCCCCTTTTCGCAAGCGGAAGTCGGGAAGACCCAAAGATGCAACCAAAACCAGCCACTCACATGTGCCAGTCATCTCCACCTTTGCAGTCAGAGCACACTTTAAAAGTAAAAAAAACTTCAAGATCTCTTGAGCAAACAGAAGAGGTGTCTGGCTTTGGGTCTTTGTTCAAGCAGGGCCAAAGATCACCAGAAAGATAGTTGGTTTAGCTTCGCACCAGTTTGGGTGAGCTCTCCCCCACAACACGGACCTCGCGAATACACACAATGCCTAGACGTGGTACTCGAACAATCTCGGCTCAAGTGCCCTCAAGACAGATAGCGTTGCTACCCCCGCAGTTGCGCATCGGAGGTGACTAAAGCTTTCACCCTGCGGGGGTGTCTGGGATACTGGCAATCCTAAATCCTGAACAAAGCTGTAAACCAACATTTATTTTTGGTCTTTGCTTGGGGTGCCCTTTTTTGGTTGGTTTAAAGGGAAGCCAGAAGGACACCAACCTTTATTTTGGGGGGGGGGGTGGCCCTATTTTGAGATAAGCGAGGTTTGCTACCATGGTGGTGATCAAGTGGAAGCACCGGATCTGGGCGGGCAAACACACCTCATGCACCTTCGGGCAGGTTAGCACCTTACCCGCCTGTGGATTTCTTGCCGCCCAACAAAGGGCTTAGCTGGCTTCCTGTGGAGCAATCACTGAAGAAGACTTGTTTTGAGACAGGAGCAGTTGCTCCTGGCGTATTGGTCCCGGAACTTGTCCACTTCCCTTGTTCATCCTCAGGGCCAATTGTCCTAGGGATTTGAGTTCGGCACATTTCCTGACGATGCCAGGAATGCACAAATGCAAGGGCTCGTAATGGGGGTATAGCTCTTTCAGCTAATTGCATGCTTTCTGCGACCCCCCGCAGGTGTCCGTGGGTAAGCAACTGCCCTGGCAATCCTTCGGCGAGTACACGGGGGGTTCATTGGGTCTGACTTACTTTCTCGGCGGCTTGCCCTGGATAGAAAGGGCACCATGGCTCGTCGGCTTTGAGGGGACATCCGCGGCGCCCGCGGAAGGCGGCATGCGGAAGGCGGCATGCCGCCTTCCGCTTTTGACCAACCC